CACACAAACAGTCTCTGCAGAGCAGCACAGGGCAGTAGGGGTCTCACACAGCACAACACGGCCACCAGTGACTGCCCAACCAGAGTGAACCCAGGGCCGCAAGAGCGTACGGCCCCCCACTGCATCACAACAACATCCCCTGGCAAGGAGTTCCACAGGTTGACTGCACTGCATGCTGAAAAACGTGCTTTGGCTTCTTTTAAACCTGCTGCCTGTTCATTTCATCGGGTGAGCCTGAATTCCTGTGGTGCATGAATAGTTAAATAACTTTTCCTTAGTCACTTTCCACAGCCGTCACGGCTCTATAGACCTCTGTGCTATCGCCCGTCGTCTCCTCTCTTCCAAGCTGAACCGTCCTGTCCGGTTAATCTCTCCACGTGTCGCCCTTCTCCGCATGGCCCCATGGAGACCCGCGGATGTGGCAGCTGCCAGTGTAACCCGGTGCCCCCGGACCTGCAGTAGGGCAAGCCGAGACTGGAGCGCAGCTGCACTGGCCCCAGGCCGGGCCCCGGCTCCCGGACACGCCCTCGAGGGGAGCCGCAGACAGGTGTGTGGAGGGGAGGGGGGTGCAGCTGCGCCAGACGAGCTGTGGGTGCAGGACACTGGCTCCTGGGGGGGCTCCCCTTTCTGCTCCTTTCCCTGCTGCGGTTCCCGGCAGGGCCCTGCGGACACCGGTCTCGCTGCCCGCTGGTCCTTGTGTCCACACAGGGCTCTGCTGCTCTGCTCCATGCCCAGGGACGCTCCTCGGGGCCAGGCAGCCCCGTACTCACGCAGCATTGGAGCCCGGGAGCCCCTGGGTCCGTAGGGAGCAAGACGACGGGTTTGTCTTGTCTGCCATCGTCCTCCTGGCTGCTAGCAGCTGTCCCCAGAGCCCTCCTCCAGCCTCTGGGCCTCGCCCTCCCTGTCGTGCCCTCTGGCCTGGTCCCTGGAGGACAGCTGTTCCGCCCAGGGTGCGGGCCCTGCTCTAGTGTCTGGGGCGGCTGCTGGACCCCTTGGAGCTGGAGGCTGGGCCTTGTGCCAGCATCTCAGCGCGGGACACGGGACTAGAAGGCTCCCTGCTGGGGGACCCAGACCCGTCTCTA